AATCGGAGTGAATAAACAAACCCCAGCCCTTTTCGAGCCCCCAGGGCCCTAGCAGAGTGGCTGGGGCGGGGAGGACTCGGATTCCAGGCTCGCCAAAGAGGGGAGGCCCTGCAATTCCCGGCCTCGCTAGCACAGCCACGGGAGTGGGCGGGAAAACCACGCCACCCCGCGTGGCGCCAGGGGGTGAAGGAGCGGTGAAAGGGTGAACCGGACGGACGAGCGCCCGCAGCCTGCCGCAAACTCCAGGAGCCTGGCACCGCCGCCACCCGGAGTCGGGCGGGCCTGCCAGAAGGGCACAGAGTTTTACGAGGAGGGCGCACGTTGTCTGATCCCTCCCAGTCCTGAGATGACAGAGCGAATGTAGGTTGCTCAGGCAGACCTCGGCCCCCCTGGTTGTTCGTGTGGTCGGTGGAGGAAGCTCACGTGAACTGAATGGTCCCTTAAATTTGTTAGTTTTCAAATGCAGATTCTTCAGCTAGTAGTCATTACTTAAGTTGCTCAAGAAAAATCTGTTGTTGTTCAAACCTTCCGCTGACGGTAGGATAGGATGCCAGCACCCTGTGTTCCTCTTTCGCCCATTAAAACATTTAAGAGTCCGCTTTTTAAAAAAGCTCTTCCCAGATTCCTCCTTCTGCGGTTTTGAGACCTGCACCCGCCCAACCTACTTGCCCTAAAGCCCTTTTCCCAATTTCCTTGCAAGAATATTACTTATTTTTTTTAACCAAGCACTTAGACTTAAACTTTGAATTTGGTGATTTATTTCTCTGGGCGTTGGAAATAGAGGAAAGAATATTCTGAAATTTATTGACTGTCCTTAGGAAATGTGATCATTTGTAGAGGTGACTCACATTCTAACTGACAAGTTAGTTCTACTTCAGCTTATTCAGACCCTGACGTTTTTGTTATTCAAACATGTTTCTTGAAGTGGAGATACAAAAGTAGACAGCTACCTAAATGTTTAAGACTCTCACTTTATCTAAAGTAAATATGAAGTTTACCAAGCTACCTCATTCCCTCCCTACATTACACGTGAAATGTAGGACCTCATGTATTTTTTGTCTGAGCTTTGTAAATGAAATGAGGTGTCTCACCCTGTGACAGAATTACTCTGATTCAGTCCAGTAAGCTGAGACGTAATTGCTGTGATGTTTGCCGTATTTCCTTCAGGCTTGGATCTGAAGAAACCTCACTAGCTGCCTCCTTTTACACAGGATGAGTTCCTGGAAAGACACTTAGGTGCTGCTACAGTGGGGTTCTCTTCCTCCCAAGCCTAAAAACAGCATGAAATCTTTAATCAAGCTTCCTTTTCTAGACAGCCTTCAGCAAATTATTTCCAGTATATGTGGTATTTTCTGAAATCGTTTCTATCATATTTCAACATATAAGTCCAAAGAGTGTTGCATGGAAGGTCAATAAGAGTTTCCATAAACCGAATCATTTTTGTCTTTGTTTTATCTCTATTGAATTGGTAACTCCCTGCCATAACACTAACATTCAAATTTTTATTTACTTTCATTTTCTATTAATTTCTATGAACTAAGAAAAGCAAAAAGCACCAAAACCACCATATTCAAACTTAAAAAAAACTTTTTCTTTAATAAAATTTTACCTGGATTCCCAAAATGTAACTGCTAGAGAAGCCATGTGATGAGACCAAGGGAGTCTCTAGGTCTTTGGACCAGCCATGGCATTACCTCCTGGGCACTTGTTGGACATGCAGATTCTCTCTTTACTGAATCAGGCATGCTGGGGATGGAGCCTATGGATCTACTTTAATATGCCTTCCAAGTAGCACACTAGGGTTTGAGAACCACTGCTCCAGGCCTAGGGCATCTGGGAACACAAACTGAAACCACTGCAATAAAATGCTCAAATATGTGCGCACACAGTACTGTTCAACCAGTAACAGCCAAACTGCCTGGCAGGCAGTGCCACCGTCAAAGAACTCAAAATATCAGAGGACGTATGGTTTGCCAAAGGGAGGGGGTTGTCACTTATGACCGGTGACAGTAAAGGTGGCTCGGAAGGCAGACCATGGGAAACAAGGGCCACTGAAAGCCCTTCAGTGACCACATCAGGCTGAGAAGTACTCTCCCCAAAGAAGACCAGTAGGACGTTCTCCTATACCACTATCATGCCAGCTACTTCATTAACATGAGTGCTAGGACAAGCTTCCATTAGACCTGAAACCTAAGTCTGTAGTTAAGAGCTCAAAATCAACATAAAATAAAAACAAAAGTCTTTGAGCCCTCAAAGAGAGATCTATAGACTAGCAGCGTGGGCACAGAGGAGCTTGTTAGACATGCAGAATCCCAGACCCAGCAGGCTGAATCACAATCTGCCGTTTCACAAGGTCCCCAGATGACTCATATGCAAGTTAAACTTTGAGATACTCTTAAACAGGGGTCCTCAATTTTCGTTACACATTGGAAGTTGCCAAGGGGGGGCTTATAAAAATCCCAGTGCCTGGATCACACACCAGGTGGATTATATCAAACTCTTTAGGAGCTGGAACACAGGCATCAGTAACTTTTAAAGTTCCTCATGTGATTCCAATGTCTGAAGCCAGATTTAAGAACTACTGTCTTGAGGGATCCAGGTAGGAAAGGTACAATCAGGAAAGCCAACTGGAGAGAGACTGGAGCCTAAATGGCTGGTCTTAAATGGGGGCAGCTGGTACTAGAGTTTAGCTGACTGTTCGCCACACAGGAATGAGAGCCCAGATTTGCTAGACCTTCCAATTTTCAAAGAGAAGCTGGAAATCCACATTTTTTATGGGTAGTTTCCCAATTATTAAATGCTGGCAATTCATTCAACATTTTTTGAGAGCTGGGTTAGGGCACAGAAGCGTTATGACCACCAGTTTATGGTTTTATGATGCTGTACATCATAAAATCAAGTGGGCCTAAAGGAAAAGAAAAAGAAAAAAAAAAAAAAGGAAGGACACCCAAGAAGAGAACCAGCTTGTTCGAAGGTCAAACTGTTCATCTCAAGACTCATGTATTCTGAATCTTCTGCTCTCTACAATACCAAACGCTACAGGCATTCAGTAACTGCACATTGGTAATGGGTGAGATACCAGTGCTGCTGGCAACCCCGGAGCAAAATACTCTGGAGTCTTGCCCCTTATTTTTATTTTCCCTATCTCCTGCCCTGATAACTGAAATGGGAGAAAAATCTATCTGTGTATTAGTTAGCTTAAAATTTTCCACTTTCTGTGAGTTAACCAGGTTAAATACATATTAAGCAAAACATGAAAAAAATTATTGGCTAAACAGAGTAAGAATTCAAAAGGCCAACAGTTCTAGAATTCTCATTTGGTTGTTTTTGAGCTTGTACATACTGTTAACCATGCTGAAGGATTAGAAGGAGAGGCAGCTTCCTGATCGGACCCCGAGAGCACGTCAGATCGTAATCACCTATACTCGGAGTTCTCTTGTCATATCTATGGTCTGGGCATTCTTATCTCTTTCAGCTCTTCTGTCCTCCTACTTTGAGAATAAGACTAAAGAAATCAACTAGCATGAGATGGAAGACAATGAGCCACATTAGTGATAGTTTCAGTTAGTTCTACTCAGTATCTGCTCTTAAAATCCCCTGTAATAAGAAGCTGGACTTTTTTTAAAAAAAAAAGTTACAATACAATCTCAGTTAATAAAATATGAAACATACAGAGAACACTTTGTGTAGTTATTTTCTGGACTGCAAGGGCCACTTTTATTTTTGTACAACTTCACCAACTACGAGACTTCTGGTACATAGAGGACACTCAATAATGGAGAAAGGTCTGGAGGGTGAAAAGGAGCTCAATGCGAAATTCTTGTATTTGTGACTGTTAAAGCAACAGAAGGCAAGAGCTGTTCAGACAGAACTCTGAGGGTCTGATTAAGTCAGAGGCAGAACCAAGGACAGAGCAACAGGACGACCCATGCTGCCCATCCACAAGTAGTGTGAAAACATTACCCAGCATGGAGCAACTGGAAAGCTTTGTGCAAGGAAAAATGAACCTTGACGCTGGTAACCCCCCATATAAAAAACTGACTGGAAATGGATCACAGACCTACATGTAGTTGAGCTTTGACCTACAAATGTCTGAAAGAGAATACAGGTTTAGAAAAGATTGCCTACATATTAGGACAGAGAAAGCATGAATTATAAAAGAAAATCAATCAATTGGATATTATCAAAATTGGAAAACTTTACTCCTCAAAAAATACTGTTGTGAAAATTAAAAGCCACATCTTGGAGAAAATATTTGCAAAATATATATACAACAAAGGACTTATTCAGAATACGTTAGGAACTCTCACCATATAATAACTTTAAAAAGCAAACAACAGTTTTTAAAAATGGACAAAAGATTTATGTGAACACTTTATCCAAGAATATATATGGATGGCAAATAAGCTCATCATCTTTAGTTATTAGGGAAATGCAAATTAAAACCACAATGAGAAGGAATTCATTCAATTAGATACTTGTGTGCAATGTTCATAACAGCATTGTTCACAAGAGCCCAAAGCTGGAAACTACACGTGTTCATGAAGAGACAAATGAGTGAACAAAATGTGGTACTGACAAACAATGAAATATTATTTGGC